GCTTTGCGGGCGCCAAGAGGGGCCGGGGGCTCAGGTGTTAGGGCTCCGGATCGCAGCGGCGAGTCGGGCAGCCAGCTGCCTGTCGCCCGTCTCGCGCAACTCCCTCCCGGTTCCAGACCGGGACCCTGAGCCCAGGGAGGTTAAGTCGCTTACAGCCCCTCCGGCTGCCCAACGACCCCGTCGCAGGCCCAGTCCCCTCCTCTCCCTGACCGTCGGACATCTTGCACTCACTTGATCTTTTCCGCGTTCTCTGCGATCAGCCTCAGTGGGGTCGTCGCGGGAGGGGCCCTAGCAGGGTCAGCTGCAAAAACATCAAGCCCGAGTGCCCAGCCCTGGCCTGCGGGCAGCCTCGCCAGCTGCCGGGACACTGCTGCCAGACCTGCCCCCAGGGTAAGCACGGCTCTGCTGGCCGGGCCGCAGTCCCGGGTCTTGGGCCGCTTGGACTGGGGCGGCCTGCCGGAGCCAGAGCGTCTCTTGCCTCGGCACAGAGCGCAGCAGCTTGGAGCCGCCGCCAAGCCTGCCCTTCGAATATCCGAGGGACCCGGAGCACCGCAGTTACGGCCACCGCGGAGAGCAGGGGGCCGAGGAGCGCGCGCGCACCGACGGCCACACGGGTGGGTAGGCGGGGGCCGAGGGCGTGGGGTCGTGGCCGGGGCGGCCGCTGGCGGGGGCCGACAGTGTCCGGGCTGCCTTCCTCCCCTCGCAGACTTCGTGGCGCTGCTGACCGGGCCGAGGTCGCCGGCTGTGGCACGTGCCCGGGTCTCGCTGCAGCGCTCCAGCCTCCGCTTCTCCATCTCTTACCGGCAGTGAGAAAGGGGAAGGAAGGAAGGAGGGAGTCGCAGGGGGGTGCGGAGGGGAGCCCAGGCTCCCTCCAGGCCTCACTGGACCTCTCTCCTTCCCAGGCTGGACCGCCCCAGCCGGGTCCGCTTCTCAGACGCCGCGGGCAGCGTCCTATTTGAACACCCTGCAGCTCCCACCCGAGATGGCCTGGTGAGATGATACCGTTTATGAGCGCTTGGGCCCTGTGCTGAGAGCAGGCTGCGTATGGCCGCTCCAGGCCCTCTGGACAGCCCAGTGGCAGGAAGGCGCTGACATTAGGGGGCCCATTTTACAGATGAGGGCACTGAGGCTCAGTGTCAGACTGTGATTTGTCCAAGGTCACACAGCTAGTTAGTGGTGCAGCCAGGATTTGAGCTCCTAGGCCCCTTCTTAAGCCCCTTAGGGCCCCTGGGGCTCCCTCTGCATCTTCCCCTACTGGGCCTGGGTCTCTCAGTGCCCGTCAGGGTGCTGTCTAAGTGTGGGCCTTCTCTCTCTGCTCCAGGTCTGTGGGGTGTGGAGGGCAGTGCCTCGGTTGTCCCTGCGGCTCCTTAGGGCAGAACAGCTGCACGTGGCACTCGTGACACCTGCCCACCCCTCAGGGGAGGTCTGGGGGCCTCTTATCCGGCACCGGGCCCTGGCTGCAGGTAAGGGGAGCGCACACCCTCTGCACACGGACGTGTGGGCTGAGGAGGGATTTTCTGAGCGGCTGTCACTGTCTCTCCTCCCCCAGAGACCTTCAGTGCCATCCTGACTCTGGAAGACTCCCAGCAGCAGGGCACAGGGGGCATTGCTGTGCTTACCCTCAGCGACACAGAGGACTCCTTGCATTTCCTGCTGCTCTTCCGGGGGCTGCTGGAACCCATGAGTGCAAGTAAGAGGGGTAGGGGGAGGCTGGAGGAGGTGGGGAGGGCGCGGCCTCTCAGAAGCGTCCACACGTGTGGCCATTGCAGGACCAGCCCAAGTTCCTGTGAGGCTCCAGATTCTGCATAAGGGGCAGCTGCTTCGCGAACTCCAGGCCAACACCTCAGCCCAGGTGAGGGAGAGTCCCACCCCCGCTGTCATCCGCTCTGGCCTCTCACTGTCACCCACTGTACCCTGCTCTGTCGCCAGGATCCTGGCTTCGCTGAGGTGCTGCCCAGCCTGACAGCGCAGGAGATGGACTGGCTGGTGCTGGGGGAGCTGCAGATAGCCCTGGAGAGAGTGGGTGGACCAGAGCTGCGCATCAGTGGGCACATTGCTGCCAGGCAGAGCTGCGATGGTGAGGCGAGCTGGGGCCTGGCACCTTAGATGCACATGACCGAGAGGCACAGATGAGGGCTGGGGTCTCGGGGGATGTGCAGGCATGGAACAAGCCTGCGCCGTTTCTCTTCACCCTCTGCAGTCCTACAAAGTGTCCTTTGTGGGGCCGATGCCCTGGTCCCTGTTCACACGGGTGCTGCCGGCTCCGCCAGCCTCATACTGCTAGGAAACGGCTCTCTGGTCTACCAGGTAGAGTCAGAGGCTGCAAGAGGTGGGGAGAGCAGTAGGGTAGGGCCCAGGGCTTTGCTGCCTTTCCCTTTTCCAATTCGCCCTCCCTTCCCCTGACCACCAGGTCCAAGTGGTGGGTACGGGCAGCGAGGTGGTGGCCATGACCCTGGAGACCAAGCCTCAGCGGAGGAATCAGCGCACTATCCTGTGCCGCATGGCTGGACTCCAGCCCGGAGGATACACGGTGAGGGCTCCGGGAGAGCTGGGCCACAGGGCCCAAGTGCCAGTGGGGCTGAAGCGTGGGCCGGGGAGAGCAGGGATGTGCAGTGTCGTTTGCTTCCTCCTGGGCTCTTTCATGAACTCATATGACACATTTTTAGTGAGCTTCAGACTGGGGACTAGAGTACAAAGACAATCAGATGTGGCCCCTGTTTTCAATAAGCCACAGTTTGTTTATTTGAGACAGTTTCGCTGTGTTGTTCAGGCTGGACTTGAACTCACTCACTGTGGTCCTCCTGACTCAGCCTCCTGAGTGCTAGGATTACAGGTGTGTGCCACCATGCCCAGCTCAGCAAACTACAGTTAAATGGGAAGACTTAGATGAGAGGACTGGTGCAATCGACTGCGTACTAACCAATATGATGGCAATGATCACTACTTTCTATGCTTCAGGTAGCTCAGTGTGGCGTGCTGGCTTATGTATGAGGCCCTGGGTTCAGTCCCCAGCACAGTGGGGAGGAGAGGAGGCACTGCACTGGGTACCTTATTTTACCTTTCACAGTACCCACTTAATAGATGAGGGAATGAAGGGCCAGAGAGTGAATAACTGTTCCAGGTTGTTGTGCAGCTAGGAAGGGGCGGAGGAAGGACTTGACCCAGAAAGTCCTGTGCTAGTGTAACGTTGGGGGGAGGTGTGTATGGGTATAGCTGGGACACAGTGTGGAAAGGCCTCAGAATTGGGGCTGTGCGAAAGCTGAGGGGCTTATTCTTCTTTGTCCCCCAGGCTGTGGGAATCTGCCCTGGGCTGGGGGCCCGAGGGGCTCATATGTTACTGCAGAATGAGCTGTTTCTGAATGTGGGCACCAAGGACGTTCCAGACGGGGAGCTGCGGGGGCAAGTGGCCACCCTGCCCTACAGTGGGCACAGCGCCCGCCACGAGAGTGAGTGCTCGGGCTCTGCTGGCCCTCCTGTGTCCCCTGCCCCGTGACTCAGATGCGTGAGAGATGCTGCCAGCCGGCCAGAGTCTGGTGTGTCCTCCCTGTGTGAGCTTCGGGCTGGCATCTGGAGAAGGGGCGCATGCAGGGCGGTCCTGCTGGCAGGCCCCGGCTGTTGCTGTGGTGCAGGAGTCGAACACTCCCTGCTCCCCAGGCGCTGGGCCTATGGACAGTGCCTTTGCGTTCACAGAGTCTGTGCTGGGGGAGACGGAGAGTGCTGAGATTAAGGGCTCTAGGCTGACCTCTCATCTGTCCCCTCCTCTGTCTGGACCCAGCATCGCCTGCACCCCTGGCAGGAGCCCTGGTGCTGCCCCCTGTGCAGAGCCAGGCAGCAGGGCACGCGTGGCTCTCCCTGGATACACACTGTCACCTACACTATGAAGTGCTGCTGGCTGGGCTGGGCGGCTCAGAACAGGGCACTGTCACGGCCCACCTCCTAGGGCCTCCTGGGATGCCAGGGCCCCAGCGGCTGCTGAAGGGATTCTACGGCCCCGAGGTGAGGACCCGATACGGGGAGACAGCTTCCGCTGGCCTGCTGGCAGCGCAGGATTATAGAGCGGGCCTGGCCCCGGTAGCCAGACAGGCTGGGTATGAATCTGACTCGGCTCTTTATTGTGTCTTTTTCACTTTCTGTGTCCTTCTCGGGGAGTCTGACGGGTAGATCTTCATATGGTCTCTGGAGGGTTGGGGGATGGACCAAACCCATGGACCTGGAGTCAGAGAGACCTGGCTTCAAGCTTTACACTACTGCCTGTGGCTTTGCTGCCCCCTAGAGACTTTAATCTTCCTGGGTCTCAGTTCCTTCTACAGACGGGACACCAGGTTTCCCACCCTACTATGCCTTGTTCTCATCATCTCTCATCCCGTGTGCCCACAGGCCCAGGGTGTAGTGAAGGACCTGGAGCCCGAGCTGCTGCGACACCTGGCACAGGGCACTGCCTCCCTGCTGATCACCACCAAGGGGAGCCCCCGGGGGGAGCTCCGAGGGCAGGTAAGTGAGCAGTCCGGCTGGCCCCAGTGTCTTTGCACGCGTCACTTGCTCTCTCTGGGCCGCCCGGGGGTGGTACTCTCAAACCTCGGCGATGAGAAGGAGGAAGCCACACAAGCTGCCTAAGGAGGCTGGCTGCCCACAGGCCTGGCCGTGCAGCTGGGTGATTGCCGTGGCAAACAGCAGGCCCCTGGCCCCACAGTGCTCCTGGGGTAGAGGTGCGTCCGACCCTGGCCAGCCGTGGCGGGTGGCGCCTCCTCAGCTGGCCTTTCCTTCCAGGTGCACATTGCCAACCAGTGTGAGGTGGGGGGCCAGCGCCTCGCTTCGGTCAGTGTGGAGGGGCTGCGGACACCTGGTGCTTTGGATGCAGCTGCCCAGCACACGCTGCCCGCTGCTCCCGCCCCCGAGGCCCCTGCCCCTGCCAAACCTGGAGGCTCAGGCCGGCCCCGAGACCCCAACATGTGCTTCTTTGAGGGGCAGCAGCGCCCCCACGGGGCTCGCTGGGCACCCACCTACGACCCACTCTGCTCCCTCTGCACCTGCCAGGTGAGTACGAGGTCTAGGAAGAGGCTGAGGGGGGTCGGGGTCAAGGGCCTGGAACTGGTCCAAGTCTCTGCTCCTGTCTGCAGAGACGGACGGTGATCTGTGACCCCGTGGTGTGTCCACCCCCCAGCTGCCCACACCCGGTGCAGGCCCCTGACCAGTGCTGCCCAGTGTGCCCCGGTGAGTTCCTTGCAGGGCTGTGGGGGGTGAGTTCCCAGGGAGCGGGGCAGGCGGGTCACCTTCCATCTCCTTCCCTTTGGCTCCACAGAGAAGCAAGACATCAGAGACCTGCCAGGGCTGCCCAGGAGCCGGGACCCGGGAGAGGGTGAGCTGGAAGGCTGTGTGCAGGGGTGGGAAGATTCAAGGAGCCACTGTGTTTGAGAGAGAGAGAGAGAGAGAGAGAGAGAGAGAGAGAGAGAGTATGTGTGTGGGTGGGGGCAAAGGGCAAAGGGCCAGGTGCCAGGTGACACCCAACAGGCCTCTGTTTCCAGCCCCCAGTGGCCTTTGGGTTTGTGCCTTGAGTGTGGGCTCAGCTGCTGAGCTCAGTACTAATGGCAGCTGGGCATCCTCCCTCACCAGGCTGCTACTTTGATGGTGACCGGAGCTGGCGGGCAGCGGGTACCCGGTGGCACCCTGTTGTGCCTCCCTTTGGCTTAATTAAGTGTGCTATCTGCACCTGCAAGGTAAGGCTGCCCCCATCGTCTCCGGTGCCACTGAAGTCCGCAGAGATGGGGAGGGGTGGCCAGAGAGCAGAGCTATCGGTGTCGGGAGGACTCAAGGATGCAAACACACTAGAAAACTCTGGTGGGCTTTGACAGCCAGCTTCCCATAGGACAGTGGTGGCGAACCTATGGCATGCATGCTGCAGTGGGCTGTTTGTTATCACTGGAAGCTCTATCACTGCTATACGAGAAGAGAAAGGGCTGACCTGGGTGCGAATTCTGCCTCTGCCCCCGACCGGCTCCATATGACACTGGTGCTTTCTGAACCTCCCTGTGTTGCCCCTCTGCTCTTCTGTAAGCAAATACAAGCCACCTACCTTGTAGGGCACAATGAGGATTTGAGTCCAGGTATATAAAGCAAGCCCAGGACTCTGAGTAAAACACCATGCATATGTTTCACTGGAGCTGGGGGAAGAAGAGGGAGGAAGCAGGAGGCTTTTGTGTCCTTCTCCTTCCTGAACCCATCACCGATGGGTCCCTGCAGGGGGGCACTGGAGAGGTGCACTGTGAGAAGGTGCAGTGTCCCCGGCTGGCCTGTGCCCAGCCTGTCCGGGCCAACCCCACTGACTGCTGCAAACAGTGTCCAGGTGAGGAACTTGGGCACTGAGACCTTAAATTTGGGGGTTGGTGTTAACCTGGGTGAGGGGAGGCATGCTTTGGGTGAGGGGCTTCTCAGCTACTTCAGCATCTGCTGAGCACCGCTGTGTGCACAGCCTGGAGCCAAACCTCTAAGCACAGTGGACAGAATGTGTGTGTACCAGTGGGATGTGATGGGCTTTAGTTTCTACTGCATCCATCCATCCATCCATCCATCCATCCATCCATCCACATTTGTCACCCACTAAATGACAGAAACTGGTAGGTGGTGGGGATTCAAAGAGGAATCAAAGCTGGGTGGCCCTCCGGGGCTGACCCCTGCTTCCTCCCCCCAACCGTGGGGTCAGGGTCCCACCCCCAGCTGGGGGACTCCATGCAGGCTGATGGCCCCCGGGGCTGCCGTTTTGCGGGACAGTGGTTCCCAGAGAGCCAGAGCTGGCACCCATCAGTGCCCCCCTTCGGGGAGATGAGCTGTATCACCTGCAGGTGTGGGGTAAGTGGGGTTCCGCGTGGAGGGCAGACTCCCGGCAGTGGGCTTCCTGGAAGGCTGCCGTCCACTGTGCCCCAGGGCCACTGGGGAGCCTCAGCCTCTGCTTTGTGCCGCACCAGGCAGGGGTGCCCCACTGTGACCGGGATGACTGCTCCTTGTCGCTGTCCTGTGGCTCGCGGAAGGACGGTCGGTGCTGCCCCCACTGCGTCCCCCGGCAGCGTAAGTGAGGGAGGCCAGGGGCAGCAGCCGTGGACCTGGGAGGGAGGGGAGCCCTGGGAGCCCCTTGTTGTCAGGAACCCGGCGGCGCTTTACAGGCCCCTTCGTAGTCCACCCACACAGGCGGTCCCAGGGTTGTCATGTGTGATCGCTTCTTTGCAAATGAGATTTCTGAACTCCGAGGAAGGCAGCAACTGGACAGATCGCAGATCGCACAGCTGGTGCGCACCGACTTGTTTGGACAACTCTTCCTTTCCTCGGACAGGGAGGGATGTTCTGCTCATGTCCCCCACACCTTTTTCCATGCCACCCTGTTCCCTCTCCTCTTCCAACTTTGCTCCCTTCTATCCCTAGCGGCCCCCGAAACCAGGACTCTTCCAGAGCTGGAGAAAGTAGCTGAAGGCTCCTAGGGAGCAGCCGGAAGGCCGCGTGACCAAGAGGAGGGGCCTGAGCTGGGGGAAGGGGCTGCGCTGAGGACGCTGCCTTCTCCTGTGCCTGTGCGGGAGCCCAGTGCCTTTAGCTCCTCCATTCTGCCTCTTCTCCCTTCCCCACTACCTCTGGGAACCACAGCTCCACAAGGGAGAGAGGTGGCCAGGCCAGGCCAAGGCCAAGGCCACATCCACTCCAGCGCTGCCCTGCCGCCCTCTGGGCTCTGCCCTGGAAGCCCCGCCCATTTCTTTTTGTACATATGTCACTGCTTGTTGGGATTTTTAATTTATCCTCACTCAGCACCAAGGGCCCCCCCATTCCACTCCTGCTGCCCCTGAGCTGAGCAGAGTCATTATTGGAGATTTTTGTATTTATTAAAACATTCTTTTTCAGTCTTTGGGCTTTAGACGGGCTCTTTCTTGGCCAGGGACCTGAGTGGATCCCAGTAGAAGAGGGTCTGAGAGTAGGAGGTGAGGGAGGAGCTCTGCTCCGGGGGCAGGAGGAGGAATCCTGGATAGAGGCAAGATGGCCCAGCAGTTGACTGGATTCCACAGAGGAGCTTGGGACTGGCCCCCGAGCTAGACTGGAGTTTCCAAATCCCACACAGCCTGAAGCAGGATTCAGACTCAAGCTGGCTTACTCACGACTGGTGTTTTTTGGCTGGCTGTATATTTGAAGGTGCTCCAGAGAGAAACAAGAGTCACTAGCTTAATTCTCTTTGTCTGAAGCGAAGCACATACTTTCTTACTATGCTTCTTTCCTGGAAATAAACTGTTCTGGACCAGGTCAGGGCAAGTCCAGATCGGAGTGGACAGGGATCGGCTCACAGCCAGTTCTTGACCCGGCTCATCTTGAGATCGAGTGACGTGTTGTACAGAATAAGACTCCGCACGCCTTCTGCATTTCTCCCCCTGCCCCTGATTCCTGCTGGTTATTCCCCCAGGCCCCCACAGGCTCTAGGAAATAAGGGCCTTAGGATGGAAAGGAGCAGTGTGTGCAACCTGCTGGTCTGTGTTTTGTGTGAACCATGCAGGCTAAAACGAAAGTGGGATTTTATGGTCTGGTAGGGCAGAGGGAAAGTAAAATCGTAGCCTTTTTATTTAGTGTGAGGCATGCTGTGTGTGGTTAGTGACTGTCTTTGCCCATTGAAGTATCATATTCCAGCTCTGCTGTTAGCTATCCGAATTACTTCACTTCTGTGAACCCTGTTTCCTTTCTGTAAAGCAGATATCTACCTCCTAGGATACAATCAGAACATATGCTTTACATAGCTCGGTGCCTGGCACATACTCACTGGCAAAGACACCAACTGTGGTGGGATTCCTGAAGCTGGTTTGGGGATTCCTGGAGCTGGCAGGGAGAGACGTGGGAGGAGAGGGGAGCGGGTTTCCATTATGTTTGCCAGGATGTTCATGGAGAAGCCAGGCTGAAGACGCAGGGTTGGTAAAGGATGGGATCAGTGGACTTGGGCTACTTAGGGATGAAAAGCAGCGGGATTCGCTGCAGCGGGTTAGACACGGGGATCTGAGTGAGCACAGTGCTAGGTGTGGTATGACGGAGGATTTGGTTCGGAGATGGATGTGCTGACAGTACTGTCTTCCCTGGTGAGGGAGTGGGGAGCCAGGCAAGTCACCCAAGGATCAGCTTAGTGGACTCCATGAGGCAGGGCTAAGCCCAGGATCCTGAACTGCGGGATCCCCCAGGGCTTCAGTGCAGCCTCAGCGGGTGTCAGCTGAGGGAGCGGAGGAGGAGTGCCAATGGATCCAGGCAGAACAGAAGCCTTTGAAACACCTTTCCCTTTTTAACCTGCCTTCTAGCCGCCCAAGCCCCAGGGAGGGATGTGGTAACCCAGGAAGTCGGGCCCTCTGGAGCCCTGGCACACAGACACCTCAAGAGGGCTCCCCATCCATTCCCTCCAGGAAGTGTCAAGAGCCATTTCCCAAACCAAACCAGAAAACCCCCAACAACAGCAGAAACCCGAGGAGAGACCTGTTTTCCTGGGTAGAAGATTTCAGTGTCCAAGCCATTAGCGGTAGGATTTAAAATTTGGCTTTGGTACATCAGGTGACAAATGCCACCCATTGGCGCTACGGCCTGAGGGGCTGTTGGCTGCCCTCGGTTTGGCCAAGTCACCAGAGCAGCCGTAAGGGTATGGGAAAATTAATGGCGGTGACTTAAGAAGAGCAGGGCTCAGACTGTGGCTAGGACGTGCGAAAGAGCCATCAAGCAGAAAAGTGACGGGGACTCCAGGGCACCAGCTCTGCGTTTGTGACGTCTTCTCGACCACTAGCGAAGCCTGCATTCCAGGGCCCAGCTCCTTGCTTTCCAAAAAAAAAGTTTTGAACAACTGTTTTTATTGCATTTCACCCCTGGGCCTTTTCAACAAAACAAAAAAAATGAATGAGAGAGAGAAACCGAGAGGAGAGTTCTTGGGGCAAGGAGAGAGGGGATGAGATGCACTTCCTCCTGTCCGGCTTTAGGTGACCAGAAGGAGACACAGTCACATCAGGGACTCACAGAGGACTCACACGGAGACTGTGGGTGGGACGCTGATCTAAACATTGGTGCTTATTCGGGATTGTGGAGAATTAGTGCTCTCAGAGTGAGCCACCCCTTGTACCGTTGTTTGGTTTTGATATGTTCACTTTCACGCAGAAAGGGGGCTGCCAGACTTGGGTTTACTCATCCTAGAAGGAAATCATTGTGAATAATTTCAGCAGTGCACAGATACGGGAGGAAGAAAGAATGCTCCAAACCCCTATAAAGGCTCTCAAAGCAACTACCGAGTAGTTTTCTATGTTTTAGTTAAAACACTTAGTGGTTGCCTGGCTCCACGCCAGCTCCACTCTGAGTCTTGCCCCTTTTAGGGCCTCGGTCCCCAGCTCTGGAGCTTCTAGGATGTCCCCGTTTGGGGATTTGTGTGGCAGCCTTTGGAGCTGGAGTAGCGGGGAGCAGCAGAGCACATTTAAGGGAAGCCTGACCTTTTGGCGTTGGAAATGACTGAGGAGACACAAGAATAGAAGGTTGGAGAAAACCCCCAACAGCTCAGAGAATCCGGCAAACTGTCATTCAGTGATCTGATCTTTAGCAAACGGCCTGGAACCCGCCGGTGGGTCCCAGACTCTCGCTGGTGGGTGTGGGGCAGGCCAGGAGATTGTCCCGTCCTCACATGGGCAGCAGAGGCCACCCAGCAGGGACATTTGCAGCCTAGTGCCCTGCTTTTCCTTAGGAGGGGTCATCGCGGTGTCTTCTTGTCTGCTTGCTTTGGCTACTGGCTGAGCCGCAGCTTCCTGTGAGACTCCAGAGTTTCTCCTTCTCCTTTGGAGCCTCCTTGCTGAGTCCCTGCCCTACCTGGGGGACAGAGACTTTCTCTCCTGTATGCAGTGGGACAGGCAAGGCATAGGTGGAGGAAGCAGGTGCCAGTAAACTGGCGAGCACGGTGCCGAGGGCTTCTCCACGCAGGTCAGAAAAGCTGCCAGGAAGACAACCGGTCTGAATACTTTGCTTCCAGCTCAGCAGCTGGAGGACCTTGTGAGTCTGACGTGTCTGGCAAAGGAGCACACGAGGCTGGAGCAGGTGGCCATGGCTGAGACTCCCCGGAGATGAAACGCACAGCCTGTCATTGCTGCCAGTATTGCTGGTGCCCCTGTGACTTTGAATGTGGGGGCCTCTGAGGGAAGAGGAGGGAAGCCAGGGACATTCTCTCCTACTCGAATACATAAAGTAAAGTTCCTTCAAATCCAAAGCGTCTGTATCTTTTTTGCCTTCTGCACCAGCTTCAGTAGAGAGGTGTTTGTTAGACCGAGGGGAGAGTTGTGGGGGAAAGCGAGACAGCAAGACAGGGTCAGGGAGAAGCAGCTGAAGGGTACTTTTTACTATGTGCCACTTTACAAGCTGTTGATTAATCACTTTTAAATAGCTAATAAGGTACAAAATGATATCTAGGGTATAAGCCCCTCCTCTAGGCATCAAGATCCACCCCCCACAGAGAAAAACTTCTTGAAAACAGAGGTGTGTAAGGTCCAAATGTGCATGGATGCAATTCAGGTTGTCCGAGGGCCTTGTTAACCACGGATGCAGATTCAGAAGGTCTGGGTGGGGCTGATCTGCATTTTCTGACAGATCCCAGGGAACCCTAATGCTGCTGCTTAAGGGATACATTGTGAGCAGCAGTGATGCAGCAGCCCTTCACCTCAAAATTTTTTTTTTTTTTTTGGTACTGGGGATCAAACTTGGGTCCTTGTGCTTGCAAGGCAGGCGGCAGCACCACTGAGCTAAATCCCCAGCCTCACCTCACATTTTTAGCAAAACATGCCATACCATGAAAGTTTCTCATCAATTTATTGAGCATTTTTTTCCCCTCACCAGGTACTGTCCCAGGGGCTAGGAAGTCAATAGCACATGAAACTGACCAAAGGCCCACCCACGTGGAATTTATAAACTTGTAGGTGAAGATCGTCAATAATGTGTTAGTCAGCTTTCTGTTGTTATAACAAAATGCCTGAGACAATCAACTTAAAAGGAGGAAAGGTTTATGGTGGCTTATGGTTTCAGAGGTTTTAGCACATGGTCACTTGGCTTTGTTGCTTTGGGCTTGTGGTAGCACAGGACATCACGGTGGCAACACATGGTGGAAAGGGCCTGCTCACCTTATGGTTGCTGCAGAGCAAAGAGAGAGACACAGAGGGCTGGAGTCTCAATCATTTTTTTTTTTTCCTTTTTGGTACCAGGGATTGAACTCGGGACCTTGTACCTTTGAGGCAGCAGCAGTACCACTGACCATAATCCCCGGTCCCGGAGTCTCACTCTTCAAGGACACAATACCAATGACCTAACTTTCTCCCATTAGGCCTTACCTCCTACAGGTTCTAGCACCTCTCAGTGCTACCACACCCAGGGACAAAGCCTTCAACAATGAGCCTTGGGGGATGCTCCAGATCCACACTACAGCAACACATATAATAAATAGATCAATTACAATATGGCAATAAGTATAGCACAGAAGTCGAATGGAGGGGAGAAGGTGCTATGGGAAACAGCAAGAGAAGGAGAACTGAGTGCTTAGGGGAAGAAGAGCTGGATGTGATTAGAAAAGGAGAGTTGGAGAAATGTTCCAGTCGGGTGCCGTCTTGAATGAAGACTCAAAGGAGGGCAGGGAATGAGCCATGGGGTATTTAATGGTTTAAAAAAATATTGTATTTTAGTTTTGTTGAGATAGATTCTTGCTACACAGCTCTGGCTGGTCTTGAAACTCACTAAGTAGTCCAGGCTGGTTTTGATGCTCCTGCCTCAGCCTCCCAAATGCTGGGATTACATGTATGTGCCACCACACCCGGCTTGTACTCATTTTTTTAAAAATTAGGAATGT